TGGTGAGATTGCAACAGCTCTACTGAACAGTAATGTAATATTAGTGATTGTCACAGCTTTAGTGAAAACATTTAATGATCACCTAAACTCCCAGCAGTAAAGCACAAGGGCGATTCCACACCAGGAAGGCCCAAAAAATATCTTTGGTATCTCCGATTTTTCTGTCAATTCTCACATATAAAAGTAATCGGGATGAAGATTGTTTGATATACTACATTTGCATCACAAACAACAATTTTTGAGAAAATCATGATGAAAGTGGCAATTATTTTAGACCTATACATGCCTCCTGTAAGACCCTATGAACCATGAGCCGTACATGGTACAGACAAAATTTCGGTGTCATTATATTCCTTATAGTGTGCTCTAAAATATAGTATGTCTACATTCTGAAAAAAAAAAATTCACATGAATTTATTCAACATAAGAAATATCAATATGAATAACTCAAAGGTACTGTTTTTGATTTTGTTCATTTTTAGACATTGTTTTAAACAATATACTACATCAAATTTGGAGGGTGGGTGCTCAGCTACTTTTGAAGTTATGATCCATTTTATGAGCACCACCAACATAGTGAATGGGGAAATGAATTCAAAGGGGACTCCCTCTGTTGGTGATTTGCTGAATGTGATTGGTTAACCTCTTAAGGATCGGACCCTTTTTTTCAATTTTCGCCTAAAATGTCATACCCAAATCTAAATGCCTGTAGCTCAGGACCTGACGCAAGGACATGCATATTCTTGATACCATTTGAAAGGAAGTTTGTGGAAATGTGAAATTAATGTAGGAGAATATAACACATTAGATCTGGTAAAAGATAATACAAACACAAAAACATGTGTTTTCTATTAATTATTTTGTTCCATCTTTAAAAATGCAAGAGAAAGGCCACAATATAATATTGCAGTTTAGGCGCAATTTAGATTTTGGCCACTAGATGGGAGCAGTGTGTGTAAAGTTTCAAATTGATCCATTGAAGCGTTGCAATACTGGACTATTTTGTATCAAGTCTGCCCAAAAGTGCCGAATTGGTCAATTGATACATTTTCAAGTACATAACTATAGAGAACATACAAATATGATATGGTAATACAAAATGTAAGTTTACACACTCTCAGGAATGTCATACATGATGGATCATGAGCTTATACACTAACTTTCACACATCTAGATGGCCGGGCGGGGTGGGTGTGGAGCCAGAGACCGCAGGGGTTCAAACTGTAGAACCCAGTTCATACATTTGAATATAAAAATTGATTTGATCAAACAGAACTATGCTACATTTGATCTCTGGGACCCTTAGGATGACAAATCAGAGCAAGATAACTGAATGTAAGCACATTATTTACCTTCAGAGGTGAATGTATCAAACCAGTTGCCGTGATACGTTTTTTGTTGTTGTGCACTCTCCTCAAACAATAGCATGGTATTTTTCAGTGTAATAGCTACTGTAAATTGGACAGTGCAGTTAGATTAACAAGTATTTAAGCTTTCTGCCCATAAAAGACATGACTATGTCCTGGAAAGTATGCTGTTACTTACAACAGTCATGCTAATCAAGCTGGTTGAGAGAATGCCAAGAGTGTGCAAAGCGGTCATCAAGGCAAAGGGTGGCTACTTTGAAGAATCTCAAATATAAAATATATTTTGATTTGTTTAACACTTTTTTGGTTACTACATGATTCCATATGTGTTATTTCATAGTTTTGATGTCTTCACTATTATTCTACAATGTAGAAAATGGGCAGGGTTGTCTAAATGTAATCCGCTACAGTTACTAGTTACCTTTCCAAAATTGTAATCAGTAACGTAACTTTTGGATTACTTACAGTTTTTGCCTATTGCTTACACACTTTTTGCAGAATTTGGCTCATTATGTCAAAACTCAACACACAAGTCAATCAGACATAGAGCACTTGGAGATTAACAACTCACATATATGCCAAAATGAAACACTGCAATCAAAACTTAACACCCCTTTCTAAAAATGAAATTCTTGCAACAAAACCATACACACAAGCAACATTTGAATTACTCTTTCATAAAACCAGCAACACACTGATGGGCTTTATATAAAACACTGCAGTCTTTGTGTTTCTATTTTTATTGTCATTTTATTGTCATTGTCTTCTGTAAAACTCAAAAGTAGAATTTCTGCAGTAATCAAACAGTATTTACAAAAAAGTTTTTACAAAAAAACTAACATTCTTACAGAAATTCTTAACATCAAATTTAGCAACAAAACAAAAGTAAAAAAAAAAAACCCAATTACTGGATAAATTGCTATTGGGGGAAAAAACATATACTTGTTTTGTGTGTGTGTGCGTGTGTGTGTGCGTGTGCGTGTGTGTGGTGGGGGGCGGGGGGGCTTATGGATCACGCCTTCTGTTCGGATCTGGCCACAAGACCTCGTCAACATCACAGGCGATGTCCTCGCGGGCTAGGCATCGGGGAAAATATCGCCTTGTGTGCCGAATCCACCCTTGGATTGATCCCATCTCAATGTCTCCACATGCCTCTTCCATTGCTTGCAGAAGAGTCATGCGGGCATGTGGTTGCCGATCATATACTTTCCACCGCCACGCTGAAAATAATTCCTCGATTGCATTTAGAAAGGGGCTGTAAGGGGGCAGGTATAAAACTGTGAAATGATTATGGTTGTTGAACCAATCTCGGACCAGAGCAGCCCGGTGGAAACTAACATTATCCCAGATGACAACAAACCTGAGCTGCTGTGGTCTGTCCTGCACAACTGCATGTAGTGCATCTAGAAATGCAATGATCTGTCCTGTATTGTAGGGACCTAGAGTGGCATGATAATGCAGGACTCCTTGGACACTAATTGCAGCACACAAGGTGATATTTCCCCCACGCTGCCCAGGGACATTTACAACAGCCCTTTGTCCAACTACGTTACGGCCCCGACGCCTGGTTTTGGCCAGATTGAAGCCTGCCTCATCCACATAGATGAACTCATGCGGCAGTTCGGCGGCATCAAACTCCAGAACTGTCTGTAACAGAAAATATTGAATAGTGTTACTGAAAACACATACAGTAACTACAATGTCTATATTTTCACACAAGTGGGGGCTGGGTTGGGTGAGTATAGACAAAAACTACAAGCTACAGGCAGGGCAGGTGGCAGCATAAACCCTCATTCCCACATCACAATATATAGTATGTAAAGTAAAGTGACACATACGTGCACATAATCATGGCGCAGATCCTTGACCCTGACACTGTTCCTCTCAAATGGCACCCTGTACAGCTGCTTCATTCTGAAGTTATGTTTCTGTAGGATGCGACTTAGTGTAGAAATGCTGACCCTGTTGATATTGTTGAATTCATTTCCATTTGCAATTATGCGTTGTTGCAACTCACGAAGTCGGATTGCATTATTTTCTCGCACCATTTCAATGATGGCAAGCTCTTGTTGTTGAGTGAAGAGCCGTTCCCTTCCACCTTGAGGAGGTCGTCCAACCATTCTGTAGAAAATGCCACCACAAGATGTCATTGGTTAGGTTATTTTTCACATACTGTACTTTCAAACTGTACACAGTACTGCAACATCACAATGGTATTCCTTTACATATACAGTACTTCACAGCACTACCCATTTTTGTATAGTATAGTTAGTACAGTAATACTGTAATATGATACAGAATCATGTGACACATACAGTAGGTACAGTCTGGAGTAGAAAGTTGAAGATATACCTGTTCTCCAGTCGGAATGTCCTTATTATCAATGCTACTGTGTAATGACTGAGGTTAGGGTGGACTCTTTGCCCAGCCTCCCTCATGGACAGGCCATGATTTATCACATGGTCCACCAGAGTAGCCCTGATGTCATCTGATATACGCCTCCGCACTGGTCCTCGTCCTCTTCTACGTCCTCTTCCACATCCGACTCCTCTCTCTCTTTGTCCTCCTCTTACTCTGACTCTCATTGCCTCCATGCTTGCAAAGTTCTAAAAATGGCTTACCTGAGGCCTATTTGTAGTGCTAAGGCTCAGACTGATTGGTGTTCTGTTTTCTGTGCAAATGTTTTCAGGTGTGTATGTAAGTGCATACAATTGCCAGATGAGTTTTGCATTTTGAACAGAGTGTTTTCCCAATGATAACAGGTGATTTCGTTTTTGAACAAAGTGTCTAATGTAAGAAAACGTGTGTAGTGTTTCGCAATAAGTGTGTTACAGAATCGCAAAAAGTGCAAAGTTGACATTGTGTTTAAGCTATGGTTACACTGTGTTTAAGGTATGCTACAAGAAGTTTAGGTATTGAGGCTTTGGTCTAAGCATTCGGTTTTTGTGTGTAAGCAATGGGCAAAAACTGTAAGAGGCATTAGAAGAAGACAAAAAGGATCCATCAAACGCATTTGGTGTGTCATCATAGTGGTCTCTGACTTGTGGTCAGACTCGCTCAGTTGGAACAAACTCAAACTTGCGCCTTTTTTCAATGCTGAATTGAATGTCATTGAGAAAACAGAAAGGTGTCATAATTATGGCTGTGTCGGTCATGAAAGTTTGTCAGCTGGTTATTGTCATGCAAAAGATGGTAACTGATCATTAATTAACATAAACACATTTAGCATCTCCAGGCCTCCACACATACAGGCCGCATATAAGCTGCTAATGTGCACCTTTGGAACATCAAAGTCTAATAAATCAATTGAATACACACTGTCACAATAAATCCATGATTTATTTTATGCACGTCTAAAGAAATATTATGATATGAAGAAAACAATTTTCAGAAGAACAGAATATGAGTTGGCCTACTGTATGTTATCTGGCTATGCGCAACACCATAGGCTGTAGGCTTGTTTATTTAGCAGACAAGATATGCTTTAAGTCCTGTGCCATTATTTTATATTATATCCGGGACTATGAGCAGTCCCTGAAGAACCAAGCTGAGAACCTGGCCCAGGAGAAACAAGTCCAGCTCCACAATGACTATGCAGAGAAGGAGAGAAAGCTCCAGGAGAGCCAGGACTCCATGTCCTCTAAGCTGGTTGAGGCTGACCACAAGACCCAGGCCCTACAGACAGCTCTTGAAACAACTCAGACAGAGCTCTTCGATCTGAAGACCAAGTATGACGAGGACTGCACAGCCAAGGCCGATGAGATTGAAATGGTGATGACAGATCTGGAGAGAGCCAATCAGAGGGCGGAGGCAGCACAGAGGGAGGCGGACACTCTGAGGGAGCAGCTGACCTCTTCTAACCAATCCCTGCAGGTGACTACCCAGATCCAGACCACCCCAGACATGGACCAGGCAGTGGAGGTGGTGTCCCGCTCCAGTCTGGAGGCAGAGCTGGGGGCCAAGGACAGAGACATGGTTAAGCTGGTGGAAGATGTCCAGAGACTGCAGGCCAGCCTTTCTAAACTCAGAGAGAGCTCCACGACACAGATCAGACACAGCTTCAACTACAGTTGAGCACCAAGACTGCCACCTTCAAGCAACTGGAGCAAAAGCTGCAGGAACAGGCTGACTATGAGGAGGTGAAGAAAGAGCTCAGCATCCTCAAGTCTATGGAGTTTGGCCCATCGGACAGCTCAGTGCAGGCGATGTCTAAACCCCTGGAATTGTTGTTGTTGGAGAAGAACCGTAGTCTGCAGTCTGAGAGTTTCTCTCTGCGCATCGCAAACACTGAGCTGAGCGGACGCTATGCAGACCTGCAGCTGGAGTTCTCGTCTGCGGTCCGGACCAACGCCGAGCAGAAGGAGCTCATCCTCAAACTGGAACACGACCTGAGCACCATCCAGACCATGTCCTCCCTGTCACGCCCTGATGCTGAGGGGGCTGACCTGGCTAGCATGATTGACACCATCCCTGAGCCAATCAAAGAGGCCACTGCCATGTTTGCAGGCCTAGGCGTGGCCCCCCAGGGGAAGCTGCCTCAAGGCCAGATGGACTCTCTCCCCTCCATCATCTCCAGCCAGAGAGAGAGAGGTTCCGCTCCCGCAACCAGGAGCTGGAAGCTGAGAGTCGTTCCATGCAGGTGACCATGCAGGCCCTGCAGAGTGAGCTGTACAGCCTGCGTGCAGACAACATCAAACTCTACGAGAAGATCAAGTTCCTCCAGAGCTACCCTGGCAGAGCTGGAGGCAGTGATGACACGGTTACAGTGCGTTACTCCTCTCAGACAACCTGTGATTGGCTAATGGGGCTTTCAAGACAACTGGGGATTAGGGGGGGGGACTAGGGGGGGGGACTAGGTCAAATCATGGCATCAGTGATCTTCAGGTCAGAAAGTCAGGTATATCATGTATATTTGTTAAGGGATTAAATATTACAAGACAATTTAAGAGATGTTGGTTAAAGATAAAGTTCTATCCTTGGCTCCATGTTGTTTTCTTAGTGGGGTGGCCAGGCAGGGACGTTGTTTCGAGTCAGATGAATATGGGTGATGTGGTTGTGTTGAGGGGTCTTTGGCTCCTAGATTGATGGATTTGGATAAATGACATAGTCTCCCGAGTGGCGCAGTGGTCTAAGGCACTGCATCATTGTGCTAGCTGTGCCACTAGAGATCCTGGTTTGAATCCAGGCTCTGTCATAGCCGGCCGCGACTGGGAGACCCATGGGGTGGTGCACAATTAGCCCAGGGTAGGGGAGGGAATGGCCGGCAGGGATGTAGCTCAGTTGGTAGAGCATGGCGTTTGCAACACCAGGGTTGTGGGGCCAGTATGAAAATGCATGCACTAACTGTAAGTTCCTCTGGATAAGAGTGTCTGCTAAATGACTAAATATGATTTTATAGTAAGAAGAATATAACTATAGGCTATTGATGATTTGAGAAAGTCACAAAAAAAGCTTGCCTCAGGCTGCAAACGCTGTTCTCTCATCAAGTGATCATATTTTCACCCATCAGACTATTCTCAATTTAATCTTGTCTTTACTAATATGTACAATTCGTTTAGATTTCGAATGGTCCATTATCAAATGGGCAGGAACAGGGACAAGAGAAAAAACACATTTCATCTGTATGCACTCGAATAGCGAATGGAGGCCACTTTCCCACCGGTTCATTTCACTCATGTCAGGTAGGCTACTCCGGTTATTTCTCTGCGTGACAGGTGATATTCTGCCCACACTCTGTAAGCCATGGGCTCTCCAAGCCTGTTCCTGCAGCTACCCAGTGCTTAATTTGGGAAACCAATTGAAATCTGTTCAGGAACATCAATAACGAAACATACAGTGCATTCGGAAAGTATTCAGACCCCTTCACTTTTTCCACATTTTGTTACGTTACAGCCTTATTCTAAAATTGATTAAAACACATTTTCACCTCTTCAATCTACACACAATACCCCATAATGACAAAGCAAAAACAGATTTTTTGAAATGTATACATATATATATAAAAAAAAGAAATACCTTATTTACATAAGTATTCAGACCCTTTGCTATGAGACTTGAAATTGAGTTTAGGTGCATCCTGTTTCCATTGATCAGCCTTGAGATGTTTCTACAACTTGATTGGACTCCACCAGTGGTCAATTCAATTGATTGGACATGATTTGGAAAGGCACACACCTGTCTATATAAGCTCCCACAGTTGACAGTGCATGTCAGAGCAAAAACCAAGCCATGAGGTTGAAGGAATTGTCCGTGGAGATCCGAGACAGGATTGTGTCAAGGCACAGATCTGGGGAAGGGTACCAAAAAATGTCTGCAGCATTGAAGGCATTGCCTCCATCATTCTTAAATGGAAGAAGTTTGGAAACCACAAGACTCCGCCTGGGAGGTGACCAAGAACTCAATGGTCACACTGACAGAGCTCCAGAGTTCCTCTGTGGAGATGGGAGAACCTTCCAGAATGGAAGAGTGGCCGAACGGAAGCCACTCCTCAGTAAAAGGCACATGACAGCCCGCTTGGAGTTTGCCAAAAGGCACCTAAAGGACTCTCAGACCATGAGAAACAAGATTCTCTGGTCTGATAAAACCAAGATTGAACTCTTTGGCCTGAATGCCAAGCGTCACGTCTGGAGGAAACGGTGAAGCATGGTGGTGGCAGCATCATGCTGTGGGGATGTTTTTCAGCGGCAGGGACTGGGAGGCTAGTCAGGATCGAGGGAAAGATAAATGGATTAAAGTACAGAGAGACCTGCTCCAGAGCGCTCAGGACCTCAGACTGGGGCGAAGGTTCACCTTCCAGCAGGACAACTACCCAAGCACACAGCCAAGACAACGCAGGAGTGGCTTCGGGACAAGTCTCTGAATGTCCTTGAGTGGCCCAGCCAGAGCCCGGACTTGAACCCGATCTAACATCTCTGGAGAGACCTGAAAATAGCTGTGCATCGACGTTCCCCATCGAACATGACAGAGCTTCAGAGGATCTGCAGAGAAGAATGGTGTGCCAAGCTTGTAGTGTCATACCCAAGAAGACTTGAGGCTGTAATCGCTGCCAAAGGGTCTGAATACTTATGTAAATGTGATATTTATGGGGTATTGTCTGTAAACTGATGAGGGGAAACAACTGTTTAATCCATTTTAGAATAAGGCTGTAACGTAAAAAAGTAAAGGGGTCTGAGGCGGTGGATCATCTGGACCAACTATTGAGGAAGTTGCCTAAACCATTCCAACGTTTCTGCAACTACCTCTCCCTAACAAGCAACGTTTGAAATGTTCTACCCTCTTGTGGCTTTGAGTCAGTGACTCTTATCACAGAGTGATATGCATATGGGTGTTTCAAATTAATCATCACCTTAGAAAGCACTGTCCATTTAATTGTTTTAGGCTTTGAAACAACATCCACAACGACCATGTTTTCCACTCAGTTTCAACCTGTTGTTGAACTTCTTTCTTCAAACTGATCAATCAGAGTGAGGTGAGTTTTTAAAAGCACATACGGTTTGATTTTTTATTTAATTTGCATTGATGTCAGAGTGGTTAGAGGGACAATAGAGCCCTGAGTACCAGGCAGTTACCAGGCCATGATGATCATTAGCAAGTTGGGTACTACTAACACATTTCCAGAGTGCATAAAAGGAGATTACCATAACTCAACGGTCACATAGAATTTTACTGCGGTCATGACTCTTGACTGCCGGTGTGGTGGTAATATGGTCACTGCAACAACCCTAGTCATAATGCATTTTTCTGAAAAAACATCCTTTCTGAATTCAAAAGTAATCCAAGAAGTAATCACCTAGTCTTTCAAAATGATATGTAATCTGAATACAATATTTTGCTTGTAATGTAAATATTTACAGTTTTAAAAAAAATGGTAATCAGATTAAATGTAATCAGTTACTCCCTGCCCCTGACAATGGGTCATAAATATCTTCAAAACTAGCAGGCACCCACTCTGGACATTTGACATATTTGAAGAGTATGTCTAAAAATAAGCTAAATCAAAAAAGGGTACTTTTGAGATATTCATAATAGTATTTTTTACGTTGAATACATTCATTCAATGTTTTTTATTTCAGAATCTAGACATACTCCATATTTTATAGCACGCTATAAGAGGTACAATAACACCAAGTCTGTATCGGGCGGCAGGTTGCTTAGTGGTTAAGAGTGTTGTGCCAGTAACCGAAAGGTCGCTGGTTCTAATCCCCGAGACGACTAGGTGAAAAAATCTGTCGATGTGCCCTTGAGCAAGGCACTTAACCCTAATTGCTCCTGTAAGTCGCTCTGGATAAGAGCGTCTGCTAAATGACTAAAATGTAATGTATCATGTGCGGTTCACGGATCATAGGGGTCTTACAAGAAGCATGCATTGGTCTAAAAAGGGCCTAAAATTGCCACTTTCCCAAAAAATTGTTTGTGATACAAATGTAAAAAGCATACAGATATAGGATCTTAATTTCACCTATATTGGGTCAAATCAGGTAGCTTAGTGGTTAAGAGCGTAGTGCCAGTAACCGAAAGGTTGCTGGTTCTAATCCCCGAGCCGACTAGGTAAAAAATCTGTCGATGTGCCCTTGAGCAAGGCACTTAACCCTAATTGCTGTAAGTCACTCTGGATAAGAGTGTCTGCTAAATGACTAAAATATTGCCACAACAAAATAATCCTGCAGCAACAGGATTTTAACCTATAGTCCATACTGTTGCTTGATCTGTGGCAACAAAAGAGTGATCAAATTAAGATCCTACATCTTCCTCCAAATGAAGTTTGTATGTGAGCATTTCCAGAGCAAGGAGAGAGAGAGAGATCCATCAGATGAAATTGTCAAGGAACATAACACAAATCAGGCAGCAAAAGATAACTGCAGTTACCCAAGCATCTCAAATTGGATTTTGTCTCACCATCATTTTATGATAAAGAATACAATTATGAGAATACAATAATATCTTTGTGAAAAATCTGTCATTCCTTTCCTACTGTTGAATTAGTTGTTCTCTCATTGAAAAAAAGTTCAGTGCAAATATATATATTGACTGGACCCACTAAGAGGAACTTTTAATGAAGCTATAGTTTCTGCCTTTATCCTTCTATCACATCAATCATTAATAATAGACCTGAAACAATTCTACCATCATCTGTGTTTTGATTTAAATGCACGGTGTGGATGGCTCTCCTTTCATCTCTCTTTCTGTAGTCCACCCTCTCTCCACCCTGGTCTCCATCCTGCTCTTGAGACATGTTGAATTCTCAATTCAATCAAATGCATTCATAAAGCCCTTTATACGTCAGCAGATTCACAAAGTGCTTATACAGAAACCCAGCCTAAAACCTCAAAGAGCAAGCAATACAGATGTAGAAGCACAGTGGCTAGGAAAAACTCCCTAGAAAGGCAGGACCCTAGGAAGAAACCTAGAGAGGAACCAGGCTCTGAGGAGGTGGCTAGTCCTCTTCTGGCTGTGCCCGGTGGAGATTATAAAACGACATGGTCATTAAGGCCAGATCGTTCTTCAAGATGTTCAAACGTTCATAGATGACCAGCAGGGTCAAATAATAATCACAGTGGTTAAAGAGGGTGCGACAGGTCAGCACCTCAGGAGTAAATGTCAGTTGGCTTTTCATAGCCGAGCATTCAGAGGTCGAGACAGCAGGTGTGGTAGAGAGAGAGAGAGGGGGGAAGAGATGGAGAGGGAGGGTCGAAACAGCAGGTTCGGGACAAGGTAGCACATCCAGTGAACAGGTCAGGGTTCCACAGGCAGAAAAGCAGATCCTAGGGCTCAGGTCCTCCAGGAGGGAAGAGAGAGAGCGAGACATGGGAAAATTAGAGGCGCATACTTAAGCTCACACAGGACACCAGACAAGACAGGATAATTACACCAGATAGGACAGACTGACCCTAGACCCCTAGCACATAGACTATTGCAGTGTAGATTCTGGAGACTGAGACAGGGAGGGTCGGGGGACACTGTAGCCCTGTCTGAAAATACCCCCGGACAGGGACAACCTGGCAGGATATAACTCCACCCACTTTGCTGGTGTCTGCATGG